TAAAAATGTTCAGAGAAAGAATTTCTCTCTTTATTTGCTAACTATATATGAAATTTCTAGTGATTTAATAGTACTAGTGTTCCCCTCTATTTGGGCAAGTTCGGGAATTGTGCCCAGGCTGTCGACAAAAAGCGCATTGTCTTGCTCTGTGCTCCACCAACTCAAATCCGGAAGGATCTCTTCTGGTTGAGTTAGTTCCTTGATGATTAGTGGTACCAGAAGGACGTCCTTTTGTAGAAACTACTTTGGGGTTCTGTAAAACCATTGCTGGAGTATTGATCATGCTGTTCAATGTTGTTCGTATTGCTGATTGTTGAAACTCTGGCCATTCTTGATATCTTTCTTGTAGATCCTGCAAGAGCGGTTATAGTATATCTTCGCGATGAAAATCATTTTCTCTGGCTTGCGATACCGACAAGTGACCTTGGATCCACCAATACATATGAATATCATCAAGCGTTAAGCTCTGGTTTTCTTCAAGATGTTGAATGTAGTGTGCGCAAGGTAGCTCCATTATTTTCGAGAAGGATCCAGTACATGAAGGTAAGGGTACTTGTGCAGTCGAACGTTTTGCCTTTTAACTCTGCTCGTGTATTTTTTTTAGAGCAAAAATTGAAACTTTACCTTTAATATTTGTATATAAAGGATTACTGAGCACAAAAACTGAAAGATGGATATGCTCTGATGCAATCGTGGCATCAATCTCTTTTTTTTGGTTGGTTATTATCAGAGAGATTGACGTGCGAACCCAGTAAAGATCTCCCATCGATACTTGTAAGTATGCTTTAAGAGTTGAGTGTGCACCTTCAATGTGAGAGGTTACGGTTGTTCCTAGGCGGAGAAACGTGTTTGTCCATGCTTTTACAAATCTCTTCTTCCATGGCATTCAAGTTTCTTCGAGATAGGTGGTAACAGAGGATTTACCAGCGTAATTAGAACAGAAATTTTTCCATTTTGCATTAAATTCGTCTTCCATTATTGATTGAATAATTTCATTCCATTTCACGATAAAGACCTGCCATTCACTGTTCTCGTTTCCTATTTCTTTCGGGAACTGCAGTCTGCAATTCTTTAAGATGTTCTTGCTGATATGCCATATACACAATAAATTTTTCGAATCGGGAAAAGTCGTCTCAAGAGCATTCATGAGCGCCAACTCTCTATTCGTAACAATAACACTAGACTTTGGCACTTCGTTGAACAAACGAACAACACGAATCAGGGCTAAAGATGGCGCGGTAACTGTTGCAACATGGTAACAAATAAAGCATCACCTAGTTGCAACTAGTTGCGACTTATAAAATTTTGGAGTTGCAACATGTTGCAACGGGTGACAAATAAGCATCACATACTTGCTGCGCCATCTCTAATCAGGGCCCATTGATAATCCATTTTTTCTTCACCTTTCATAAAAATAAAGCAAGAATGAAAGATAGTGTTAAAACTGGTAATACTGACAATATCTAACAAAGGCATTTTAAATTTGTTGGTTTTGTAAGTACAATCCATAAGAAGGATGGAAGAATATTGACGAGTAAGGGCGATGAATTCATTATGCGCAAAGAAAAGGTAAATAACGCATCCCATGTCATCATATTTGTACTCATAAAAAAAATTGCCTTCTTTAAGCTCATCTATGAGAGCTTGAATGGAAGTACAACCAGCCAGATTTTGTTGATGAAGCTGTTCACGAGTATTATAAATGTCTCTATTAGTAATTAAAGTCGATGCATCGTTCTGACGAAGGGTCGACACAATTTCTCGAGGACGTGAATCAGTAATAGTCATTGCTGCAACACTTGCCACCTGTTGTTCTGTAAGTCGACGAGCAATTGGATGTCCCGACATGACTTCTGAATAATCGTGGTTATGGTTAGGGTTACGGACTTCCAGATACCATAAACCATTACGTCTAACAGCATACAATTCAAAGGGACAGTCAATCAGTCGGGTGCTTTTTTGTCTACGATGAGTTTCTTTGGTGAGGCCCAAGAAATTTTCGTAAACACCACCTCGGTCACAATGCAAGGCTATATTTTTTAATTCGTCGCGGTGATCTTTACGGGTTCTTTTCTTTACCAATACATAACCCTGAGAATTTGCAAATCTTTGAGCACTCTCAAAAAGTTCATCAGCACTATTGTATACTGCGTTTGGTGGA